ACGGTGGCGCTAAACTGCGCGGGAGCGCAGAACTTCTAATCGTACGCTCCGGTCGGTAATTGGACCGCACAGTGCGCCGCTCATCCCACGTCCCCTACGGTTGTAGCAAACGAAGGTAAAAGCCAGTACAAAATATAGTAACGAATTAAATTCCTGTTACCGAACCCACACGTCTGATCTCCGCCCCGTAGCTACAACCGTTTATGACAGTAAAACTACAAGCAAATATAGTAATGCATTGCATGCACCGCACTGTGACCCACTAATTAGCATTGGTAATCAATGTATGGTAATCGAAATAAATCTATTACGGCTGGCCCACTAATTAGCAATGGTAACAATATTCCATATATGGTAATATAACTAAATCAATTACGGCTGTAGTTTCTACAGTTGTAAAATGAAGTGAACTCATGGTAATATAATAAAAGTGTGTGAGTTATAGTAAAAGTAGTAAGCATACGTGGTCCATCTAGTAACAGGTTTACTATATTGGCATTGGTCCTCGTTAATGAATATCCTTTCATTACTATGCTACTTGACTCCCGTTACTATATTCACTAATTCATTACTACATGTCCAAAAATTGGCATGATCGTGCCATAGTTAAAATCAACCACCGCAGCAGGGGCGCGGACTAGTACTGGTCGTAATTTAATTAACTCATTACGATGAACTTTAAAGCGGGCACGTGGACCAGGTTACCTGGGCTCATTAGCGCACGGATGGCTGGTTGCGTTGGTGGCCGGAGCGTACAGTAAGTTATAATGCGCTCTGGCTTATTTTAGCATACCTATATATATATATATATATAGGCACGCTAAAGTGAGCCTGAGCGTATAGTCATTTATCCTGCGCGCTGGTCAGGCTGCACGCATTGCTGCCGGGAAGTTAGCGCTGCGGCCCTCCGCCTAATTGCTAAAATCTTTGAAAGCATCGTAATGATAGGAAAATGATTACTATGCATGCATTTGCTCGGAATAACCACCTTTTCTTCCTGTGCATGGTAGTAAAACCAACAGAGAATATAGTAACCAAGTTAATCTGATTACTGCCGCACATGTAGCTTCGCCATCTGTCACATAGGAGTTAATTAGGACGTGTAGTAATAAGCTATGAAAAGATAGTAACGATATTAATTGGATTACTGCTCACGCACTATTTTTTTTCTAACCTGCAAGTGTACTTCACAATGAAAAGAGCAAGGTAGTAATTTTTACTACTATCAGCATGTTTTGTACTAGGTTTATCGGATGCCAGGAATCATCTCTAATTTTTTCGTTGGTAAACATTTGCTTTCATTACCATCCTTTTTACTACTAACAATTCGAGAGCAAATCACATGTAGTAATTCATTACTACATATAAGCACGGTTTTACTAGGAGTACGAGCCGAGGGGTTCATTGCTTCCTGAATCACATTAGTAATTCATTACCGTCTATTCTTTCACCATTACTAATACCAATATGAGAGCAAAGGACAGTACTACATATAAGCATGGTTTTACTAGTGTACGAGCCGAGGAATTCATTGCTTCATAAAGCACATGTAGTAATTCATTATCAGCTACTCTATCCCTATTACTGCCAATGATCAGGACATTACAATGGGAACGTCGCGGACCAGAGATGGTAACCAAATTAAATATGTTACTTTTTTCTTCAAAGAGTTTTACCCTCAGCTAATTAGCGGCAGAGAGGCTCCTATGGTGCGACACGCCCATCTAATTAGGACCGGAGCGTACGCTAAGGCATTCTACGCGCACGCACACAATAGCGCCACCGTATATATGCATAATACTAATATATAATACTCCCCGCTACGGACAGCCTCGTAGGACCGAATGGGCTGGACAGATTGCTTAGAGATCTCAACATTTTTGGTTTTGCTAAAGCACGTCTAGATATGCCCTAAGTGTTGCACATCTATCTGCTATATCATTGAGATTACGCAGAGATTCGTGCATGCATTTTCCTTTTTTCTTCTTCTTTTTCTTCTTATTTTTGATTAAGTCACTTAGATGTGCAATAACTTGTGCACATCTAGATGTGCCCTAAACATACCTTATAGATTAATGTGGTTATTCATAGTCAAGTTAGGATAGATTTGGTGTATGTACAACTGTGAAGTATACACCCTGGAATTAGCTAGGCAGCATTTTACTCTCTCTGAAAATAAAATTGCCGCTTTCTTGATTTTAGTTTTTTTAGAACGACAAGTGCGAAAGAGCATGGAGCGGGACAAAAAGCATCACCGTCTTGGCTTGAACAACCCAACGGTGCCCACAAGCATAGAGATGCTCTCCAATTCCTTGGTTGGAGTTGTTAATCTTGGCGCACAGATCTATTGGAGTACTATACTGATTAGATAAATTTGAAAAATGATTCTTGTAACTCCCAATACAGTGTACAGGTTGTTCTGAGTAAACAAAGTACCTGCGAATCTCGAGGAAAATCATAAAGATGAGTATATTTTACAGGATTTCAGCAGTATAGATAGTACCATTGAGTTAGCTAGCTCTATTCACCAACTTTTGCTTACATCTTTCTGGAGTTGGAGATGCAAATTTGCACCGCTAAGTGGTATAGTTTACATCTCCGGGAGATGGAGATGTAATTTTTTTTCATCTACATCATTTGTTGGAGCAGTATTTTTGGACCTCGGAGATGCAAAAGGTGATTATTATTGCATCCACATCTTCTATTGGAGATGTTCTAAGCCCTTAACCAACAATACTTTATTCTTTAATGTTGCCGGACTTATTAGCCTACAAGAGTACCATGATTCTAGCTTGTGTTAAAACTTACTTCTGAATGTTCATCATATGAAAATTGTTAGAATTAAATAGTTTAACAAGCATGAGTAATGAGGAAAAAGAGTATACCGGTATCACGGCATCATACTAGTATGATACCGTATCATATTAAATGAGGTGCTAAAATGAGTAATGTAGAATAATAAATAAGGTTATCTAGGATACTAATTGATGTTATTATACAGTACAGAGTTCATATATATATAATACTCCCCACTACGAACAACCTCATAGGACCGAATGGATTGTACAGACTACTTAGAGATCTCAAGATATTTATTACGGTTTTGCTGAAGCACATCTAGATTTGCCTTAAGTATTACACATCTATCTGCTATACCATTGATATTATGCGGGTATTTTCTATTTTTCTTCTTCCTTTTCCTCTTATTTTTGATAAGTCACTTAAATGTGCAATAACTTGAGCACATCTAAATTTGCCCTAGACATACCTTATTTATTAATTTGGTTATTGATAGTCAAATTCAGGATCACATCGGTGTACGTACAACAGTTAGCTATACACCCTGGAATTAGCTAGGCAGCATTCTACCCACTCTGAAAATAAAATTGCCGCTATCTCGATTTTAGTTTTTCTTCTTCTTTAGAACAACAAATGCGAAAGATCGTGGAGCGGGACAAAAAAGCATCGTCGTCTTGGCTTGAACAACCCAACCGTGCCCACAAGCATAGAGATGCTCTCCAATGCCTTGGTTGGAGTTATTAATCTTGAGGCGCAGATCTATAGGGGTACTATAGTAATCAGATAAATTGAAAATGATTCTTGTAACTCCCAATACAGTGTACATGCTGTTCTAAGTAAACTAAGGGCAAAGCATCCGCGAATCTCGAGGAAAACCATAAAGATGAGTATACTTTACAGGATTCCAGTAGTATAGATAGTACCATTGAGTTAGCTAGCTCTCTTCACCAACCTTTGCTTGTCGCACGCACACAAACACAGCTAGCTAGCTACTGAGCAGAGAGAGGAAGGAGACTAAGCTCGAGATGGCAGCAGAAATCGTGAGCGCGACGACGGGTGTGATTAACCCCCTCATCGGCAAGCTCACTGAGCTGCTTGGTGAGGAGTACAGAAAGCTCACAGGGGTGAGAAAAGCAAGCCATGTTTCTCAAGGATGAGCTCAACACCATGAAAGCTCTCCTTGACAAGCTAGAGCTTGTTGATAAGCTTGATCCTTTGGCTAAGGACTGGCGGGACCATGTCAGGGAGATGTCCTATGACATGGAGAATTGCGTCGACGACTTCATGCATGATCTTGAAGGCGCTGATGGCAAGAAAGGCTTTGTCAGGAAGATGACCCAGCGTCTTAGGAGGCTGGGGAGGCGTCATCAGATTGCCAACCAGATCGAGGAGCTCAAGATTCGTGCAGTCGAGGAAAATGCTCGACGCCAGAGGTACAAGATTGATGATTGCATACATTCAAGTTCAACTGTTGTTGCTGTAGATCCCCGGGTGTCAGCAATCTATGAGGAGGCAGCAAACCTCGTAGGCATTGATGGCCCAAGAGAAGAACTTATCAGCTGGTTGACTAATAGCAAGAGAAAGCTTAAAGTGGTGTCCATTGTGGGCTTTGGTGGCTTGGGTAAAACTACACTTGCCAAACAAGTGTATGAAAAGATTGGAGGGCAATTTGACTGCAAGGCATTTATTTCAGTCTCACAAAGACCTGACATGGCAAGTCTTCTCAATGGTCTAGGATTGAACCTTGGACTGAAGGACTTTCGTGCTCACGAGGTGTCATACATCATAGACCGTCTCAGAGAACATCTAACAGATCAGAGGTACTTATTTACTCCGATCTGATAATTAGATGTACATTTGTATGGTCTAGTTCTGAATAATGGCTTTGTGAATAACTGGGGTTATATGTTTGATATTAATATATTGCCTATTATCATAAAAAATCAGCATTCATCTTGCTTTTGGCATGATTTGGTAGTTCTTGTAGCATGTTTGAAAAAAAATGAGCTCTCATGTTGCTCGACTGATAATATTGCATCAAGAGAGTACAATCAAAATAAGCATACAAACAACCTCTGCATAGTTAGGATCTACAAATACATGAATGCACACGCAAACATGAAAAAACACTGGCAGGTAGAAAAGTCAAGGTAGACAGGAGTCGACGAAGATACAAATAAGTTAAACAGCTGTCACTGCGGCCACCATGTGGGTTTGAAACATCCCAGGTCACCTGCTTCAAGCGAGTACACACCATCATAAACGGCTGGCAGTGTTTCCGTTAGTGTAGAGTAGAAGAAGAATAGAACCAATGCGCATATGGGTAGATAATTAACCTGCTGCTGAGAGGAGTTTTACCCTTCAAAACCAGATAATTGGTAAACTAAATCTGTCGCATACACGTAATTATCCACGTCATGCATCTTAAACAAACTCATGTTATCTTATTTATGTGTTAGACAATGACATTGATCGTTATGATGGATTAAAGAGTGAAAATCCGAATTGAAGAAGGCAATACATGCATATGCGTAGTAGCTGGTGTGTGGTCTGTTCATAAATACTAAAGCATTTTCTCTTAACTCTGCAATGCTGCAAGACTTTTTGAGATAACATTATCGAAATGAAAAAAAGGGAATACCGAATATTAATTTGATAGTCTAAACTGAGATGTTTTTTATTAGAAAAAATAATTTAATTTATTTCAAACTTTCTTCCAACCGTTTTAAGCTGCTAACTTCACAATATAAATGGTGCAGGATGCATTGATGATATTTCATAGCTACATGTCTCCTAGTGTTTCCGTAGTGACGTGCGGGGGATCATCTAGTTGTCCTAATAATGCGTGGAAGTAAAGCCAGCTGCAAATTATGCATTTTTCCCCATAAACAGATTGAGTTTGCATAGAGTATAGGCACAATAAACTCTGACATTGTAGATGTTAAACATAAACTCTGAAGTTGTACAATCAACCTAAACTTTGTTCAAATTCAACATTGTACGATTGGGGTGGACAAGACACTGAAAGCACACATTTTTCATGTTCTTGTGTATTTTAGAATCATGTAAATCAAAGAGGCCCAAACGGACATGGTACTCAATTTTAAATATATAATAGTGTCGATGTATTTATGTATGTTATTATGATAATATATTTGCTAGTTAAATTACTTCAGGAAGATGCTTTCCTTTTTGTATGACTTTCTGCCCCAGTTCTCTTTTTCCTGTAGATCGTCAAATTAATGCACAACCACATATTAATGTACTAGCTAGCCAAAATAATGTTGGAAATGAAGATTCTTTCTTTTTGTAGGACATTCTGCCATAATTTTCTTTTCTACGAAATTTTAAATACATGTCCTCGTCGATTCATCTCTTTAGGTCCATCTCTGCAATATCTTGTACCAATGTAGATTTTTTTTAAAACATAGACCAATAGATGTGGATATTTAGCCTCTCAAAATTCTTATATTTCCTCCTTAGTACCTGCTTTAATTAGTGATAAAACGTATGTGCACTTATGCATATGCACTTCACATGATGAGCCCAAAAGAATGGATTAAAATGGAGTATATTTATATTATTTTCATTGCCGGCTTATCACTTTTCTTATATTGTATTCGAGTTTTAACATCTCACACGTCTTAGTAAGGTTGGATGTTATATGAACATGCCAAACTAGCGTATATCTAAAACCCTATAGTAATTTGCCAAGATGTATCTTATGATCATTTTTGGTTGATGCTAGGATGCTCATATCTGCAACTTTTATAGTATTTGAGTTTAATGCATGTAACATGAGTGAATAATTCAACAGGTACCTTATCGTAGTTGATGACTTGTGGGATCAAACTGCATGGAATATTCTTCGATGTGTCTTTCCAGAAGGTGATAATGGGAGTACAGTAATTGTAACCACAAGAGTGGATGATGTCGCTTGCAGGGCATCTCACGATCACCATGGACACATTTATAGAATGAAGCCTCTCAACAGTGAAGACTCAAAAAGGTTATTCTTTGGTAGAGTGTTCAGATCGGAAGATATTTGTGCACCCCAATATGAAGAAGTTTCAACCCAAATTTTGAAGAACTGTGGTGGATTGCCACTTGCAATTATAACTATAGCTAGCTTATTGGCTAGTCGTCAAGCAAAATCAAGGAGTGATTGGGAGAGCATAATGAATTCTCTGGGCACCAATTTTGCTGCAGATCCTACCCTTGAAGGGATGAAGAATATATTAAACCTTAGCTACATGCATCTACCTCCTCGTCTCCAGGCATGTTTCCTCTATCTTGGTTTGTATCCAGAGGACCGTGAGATTGAGAGGGATGATTTGGCTCGACAGTGGGTAGCCGAAGGCTTTGTCATTAGTGTTCCTGAGCTAGATTTGGAAGACATTGCTAAGAGTTCTTTCAATGAGCTTATCAATAGAAGTATGATTCAGCCTGCCCGAACCATATATGGGGAGGTGTTCTCTTGCAGAGTACATGACATGATCCTGGATTTGATCTTGAGCAAGTGCGCAGAAGAAAATTTTATGCATACAGCACACAGTTATGGAGAAATGGAAAAAATGCATAGTTGCAAGTACAAAGTCCGTCGATTATCTCTGAACTTGAGCGCAGCTGGGGCAACACCAGGGTCGACTCTTGCTACTAGTCTGTCACAAGTCCGATCATTTGCACAGTTTGGAGAGTCCATATATGCACCTCCTGTTGAGTATTTTAAGCATATCCAGGTGCTGGTATGTGAGGTGCCAGGTGAATGGACAAGCAAGCTAGGTGCAATCTGCCACTTGTTTCAGCTGAGATATTTGAAGGTTTCAGCACACAGCGTAGAGCTTCCAGCAGAGATTCGAGGGCTTGTGCACCTGAAGACACTGGAGATGAACTGCAGATATGAATCAAAAATCAGTTCAGATATAGTCCACCTGCCCGATTTGTTCCATCTGCTCCTTCCACACTGCACAGGGCTGCCTCAAGGGATCCGGAACATGACATCAATCCGCACCCTACGTTGTTCAAACATGGGGAAGAGCTCGGTGGAGGATATTACAGGTCTGGGCGAGCTGACCAATCTAAGGGATCTAAGCCTATCCAAGAGTTACGGGGAGTCTTTGACGGCGGAGGGGGTTGATGCTCTGGTCTCCTCAATTGGGAAGCTCCGAGACCTTAGGCAACTCTACCTCGGTTGCCGTCGTAAACGCTATAACGACCAGCTGGACTCGTTGCCTGATCCTCCTCCCCGTCTCGAGGTGCTCAATCTGGACGACTGGCTGTTCTATGTAGTTCCCAAATGGCTCGGTGGTCTCCGTTATCTCAGGTTGCTCTCTCTGACCGTTGTTGACTTGTCGACTGACGAGCTGCGTATTCTTGGAGAGCTGCCCTCTCTTGTTCATGCCTACCTCACCGTCTTACGTATCCCCGAAGACAAGATCGTGGTCGGCTCAGGGTCATTCCCGGTTCTGGAGGACATTTCCCTTATTTCTGATGAAGATGTCGGAGCTTACCTGAGATTCGAGGCAGGGGCTATGCCCAGTCTACGAACACTCCGTTTCAAATTCGGAGTGCAGGACTGGAGCGGCTGTACACCGGACGGCATGGAGCACCTTCTAGGCCTGGAGCAAGTCAACGTAGATCTCAAGTGCACGGCCGTCACGGAAGATGGACAATGGAAACAAGTGGCACCCGGTGTCTCCTCCGCATACAGTAAGGCACTGGAGGTGCACCCGAGGCGTCCTACCTTTGCGCTCGTGTAGTAGTTCTTTTTAACATTTATTTGTGTATTATATTTAAGCACTTTAAAATCTTATTTTGTGTATTAGCGATTTTGTAGTTGAGCTTCTTTGGAGACAACCTGATGCACTCTCTCTGGTTGGTGAATTTCCCTATAAATGTAGAAAATAATCAGGAGTTTGCATGTCAACTATATTATCTTTTAACGGTCACATTTCTGAGTCCTTATAAATCAAGAGATTAGTTATCTTCTAAGTTGTACTTCTGTTAATGGTGCAACTTCACACGACCTGTTTTGCTTCTTCAACAGCTCATTGTTGTTTGTGGAGTTCACAATTGTAATTGAACTAACTATGGCAATGCCGAATTTGGCGTAGTTATTGAACAACCAACCCCAAGTAAGAGCAACACCAGCCGATACTCTAAAAAAGTTAGAGGATCCGACCGAGTAAACTTTAGTGGATTATATTTACTTCAGTAAGTTTTGATCGATTCTAGCCGATCCCTAAAATTTAGCGGAGTAAAAAATCAAATTTAGACAAGGCTAACATAGATTCAACTTAAACAAACTTCTTAACTGAAATCCGACAGATAATTTACATTACCATGCGCCGAAACATAGTCTAAATTAAACCGATACTAAAACTTGAACTTAAACATAAACTGAAACTTAAATCTAACCGGAAACTTAGTTGACTTTGCGAGGGACAGCCAATCCATCCTAGAGATGCCAACTCCCATGGGGTCAGGCCCTGTGCCGTCGTCGTCGCATCCGGGAAGGTTCTTCGCACTTTGATGTCAAAGTCGTCGTCGTTGCCGCGTCCTCTGCCACCGTCATTGCCGCCTCCTCTACCAATGTTGTTCCCACCACTGTCGTCCTCCTCATCGCTTGAGAGGACGATGATGTCCGCCCCACCAGTCATTACAGCTTGCGCCTTGCGCTCCGCCTCCACTAGCTCAGGGTACTGGCGGCGGAGGTCGGCCATGTACACCTCCTTGGCGGCCTTCGCTATGAGCCGTTCCCTCGCCTCCCGGTCCTCCCGAGCCACACCTGCATTCACCACCCCCGGCGGCGGCGGATCGAGCAAAATCATCTCCCACCACGCAAAGTTCAAGAGGGTATCGACGCCGTGCACTCGGACCGACCAAAGGTCGTACTCACAGGCAACGAGCTCGGCGGTGTGAAAGGACCAAGGCCAAAGCTTCTTGTGGGTGTCCCGATCGGTGATTTCCGCCACCCACATCCCCCACGCCCACTATCAAATGTCGTGGTACTTCCTCCGTGGCGGTGGCGGCATGGGGAGGTCGGGGAAACCAGTGAGCCTACCGGATGTGGCTGCAGCGTCGCAGCTGCGGCGTGAGGAGGACACGCTCGTGCTGCGCTCATGGCGGCATGGATCCACGCTACGGATGGGCGGCACGGACCGGCGGCCATGGGATCAAGCCATGGCGGCGGCGGTGGGGGTGCGGGAACGGTGGAGGATTCACCGGCGACGGGGATTGGGCAGGAGGAGAGGCAGAGGAGCCGTGGAGAATTTTACTCCGAGACCAAGCGATGAAGTATTTTTACTCGCCGGATAAGTGGTGGAGTAAAATTTATTCTCAAGCTTATACGGGTTCGGCTAGGTCCCGGTTAGAGGAGTAAAACCGGATTTTTACTCCTCTATCCGGTTTTAGGGCATCGGCTAGAGTTGCTCTAAGAATCCAAGAAAGCAATACAAAGTTGAAAACTAATAAAACTTACTGCTTACAAAATCAAATGTCATGAGGTTGTCACATAGTTTGGACACAACAATATAAAGCTCTTAATTCAAACAATTAAACTCAATTTCCACTATGCCTATAGCTAGGTAATAAGTGGGTAACCATGGACAACCATAACAAATCATATATGAAGTCACATGGGTTCATGACTAGCAAATAATGTAACGTTCTTTCCAATAAAAAGTTAAAACACATAAAACAACATTTAGAGTGGAGCAGACCGAAGTCCTGAAGAACATCAACACTAGTTCCAGCATCAAGCCCTAACCAAAGCAAAATCTGAACTATACTAGGTATTAGGCCATAATGCATAATTCACAGTATGGCATCATTTACAATATTTCGGGTAATAGTGAAGAATGAACCCAGTCTGAATCCAGTTCCATGTCCCTCATTCCTCGCAGTCCCTTATTCTCAGTTAGGCCTACCTTGCTCACCTCGTCCGAGGAAGCCTCGAAGAAAGATTAATTGTTGGATGTATCATCTACCACCTCGCGCTTGTGCCTTGTTCACTAGGTATATATCGGTAGCAAAAGCAACATGAACCACATTGTAGTTACAGGATCTCTCACTGAACTCTACGCGAACCCTTGGACACAGTAAACGAGCACACTGAACGAACAGGAGTTCTGAGCTTTGTAATCCTTGCTTCTGGTTATTTCTTCTTACTTATACAATCTTGGATTACCGTTTTCCTTACAGAAAAAAACCTGGAAGAAAAATACAAGTAGAAGCAGGTATACAGTACGTGCCAACTCACTCAATTGCAGCGGTATGATCTAAAAAAGGTCTAAGCTACTAGTAAAACTATAGACCGAGCTCAACGGGATTAATGCATAGCACGCGTGGCTCACAAGAAATGTATTTCCAGATTCCCCCCATTTCCAGTGTGGTACATGCATCCAATTCCACCCAATTCATCCTACTTTGTACTAGTCTGTTATTGCTCCATCTCACTTGAGTCCTGACTCGCTTTGTGTTGGTTTAGGTGCCGCTTTATATCCTCGCTAAAGAGCAAAGTCGATGGATAGGTACATAAAAGGACTGCATGCAACGACAGGACATAGTGTATCCATATCCTTTATGTAAGTTGATCATGCAGGGGCGATTTTACCGTAGGGGCACCCTTGCCATGTGCCGGGCTGGACCCTACCGAATTCCTGTACTTTTACGAGCAGCGAGCCATCACAATCGCTAAAAACGTACAGCAATACACTAGAAAATGCATCAGCTTCATGAATTGGGCTAGTTTGGACGGACAAGAATGTTTGGTCTATGGGTATATATATACCCTATATGAAATAAAAAAATTACTCCCTCCGTCCCAAAATATAAGAACGTTTTTTACACTATACTAGTACAAAAAAACGTTCTTATATTTTGGGACAAAGGGAGTAGTACTTAAATAAAAAGTCAAAAGATTTTGAAAGTATTTTTGAAATAAACTTGACCTTCCATTGTACTTGTAAAAAAATCAGCAAAAAGAAAAAAAGTCCCGTTGACTTCTTTTTATAAAACAAAATTTTCAGCCAAAATAGTGTGAAAAGTGACCTAGAATAATTAAAAAATTTGTCTATGTTTTGCCCAGAAGTCAATGCTAGATTTTATTCCTAAAAAATTATATACCCGTGCAAAAGAGAGTCAAGTTTATTCTTAAACTTTTTTACTTTTTTATTTTTCCTTATCAGGTGTATATACACCCAGGAACCAAAGGACATCTTATATGCCTAAGTATTTGATCCACACTAACATATTCATCTCAACATGCAACTATGCCACCTCGGCATGCAATTATGTATGGGAAAGGCCCACCACAATATGCTCATGCATGAAAAAAGGCTCAAATGTTTTACTTGTATTGTGTTCCTTATATATTCAATAAGTATTTTACAATTGTACAATAATCTAATCATATGTATTTTCATTTTCAAGTTTTTTAAAATTAAGCCAAACATTCATGTTCATATCATCAAAAATCACTAAAATATATTACAAACATTTTCTGCAACAATGCGCGGGCTATCATCTAGTTTCCCTAGTTTGTACGTCTTTTTTCCTTTTAGGCTTACTCACGCCAAACCAGGGACCGTAGGACGCCATAGGCCGATCCATTTATTTCATTCATGGGCGACAACAGGGTAGTCAGCTAGTGCATCTCTCACCCCTCAAAAAAAAAAGAGGCTAGTGCATCTCTCGGTCAGGCTGCATAGAAAACGAATGTGCATCATTAAGCTGCATCTCTTGATTGTAACTCTATTATTATGAAATAAACTACTATTGAACCCGCAAAAAAAATGCATCTCACGCCTCTTTGGCTACCTCGCCCGTATGTCCGCAGGCAACAAACTGATAATATTCGGATAGATCGGGTGAAGAGAGCATATGTGTATTGAAGGGTCCAACCCAACCAACTGTGAAATTTGATCGAGAAAAACTGATAGACCAAAGTAAATTTTAGTTACGGCTGTGCCTAGGCTTTAGCAATTCGCTAGCTCTGCCATTGTGCATTAGCTACCACATATTTGCCTCAAATTAAGATCATGTCTCCACTAAAAAAAGGGATTACGATCCTAACTTCCACTAAAAAAATGGATAGTCATAAGTACCAGCTGTTAGGATATTTCAGATGCTCAGATAACGCTGCCATGGCAGCCAAAATCGATAGGTGTCGTGTCTGTCAGTAGTTTCAGTTTTTTAGTTAAGTTTTCCATAAGCCACACGAGGGGACATCTCGATGTGTGCTACACGGGAATAGGTAGTAGGCCTGCTGCACGACTTCGTCCTTAGGATGGCACGGGCATGATGGAGTTTGTTGCAAGCTTTGTGGTAAGATTTGGAATCGTAGAAAAAGGAGAAGAATAGAAAAGCAGCAGAACTTGCGCTGCACAGAACTTCCTGCCTCGGTTTTCGTCAGAGAGAGAGAGAGAGACAGAGAGAGGGAGGGAGAGGTAACTCTAATTAAAACCAGGTATTTCCATGAAACTGTTCTGAGAGCTTGGCAGCGGCCTGTTCCGCACGACTGCCCTTTTGTGAGGATGAAAAGAAGGCTGGCAAGAGTGGCCACTGACCTCAGGATCTGGAGCAAAGCAACATTTGGCAAGGCTAGGCTGCAGTTGCAAATTGCAAATGAAGTTATCTTACAGCTTGACATGGCGCAGGAGCACCGAACCCTCTCGAATGCTGAGTTAAACCTAAGACAATCTCTAAAACATAAAGTGCTCGGGCTGGCTGCAATTGAGAGAGCAAGAAAGCGTCAGGC